GGGATTTTATTGGGGTTTTTTGGGGTTCTATGGGGATTTTTTGGGGATTTTATTGGGGTTTTTGGGGATTTTATGAGGGATTTTATTGGGATTTTTTGGGGATTTTATGAGGGATTTTATTGGGGATTTTATTGGGGTTTTTTGGGGATTTTATTGGGGTTTTTTGGGGATTTTATGAGGGATTTTATTGGGGTTTTGGGGGATTTTTGGGGATTTTATTGGGGTTTTTTGGGGATTTTATGAGGGATTTTATTGGTGGTTTTTGGGGATTTTTGGGGGATTTTATGAGGGATTTTATTGGGGTGTTTAGGGATTTTGGGGGATTTTATTGGGGTTTTTTGGGGATTTTATGAGGGATTTTATTGGGGGGTTTTGGGGATTTTATGAGGGATTTTATTGGGGTTTTGGGGGTTTTTTGGGGATTTTATTGGGGTTTTTGGGGTATTTTTGGGGGATTTTATGAGGGATTTTATTGGGGTTTTTTTGGGATTTTATTGGGGTTCTGGGGGTTTTTTGGGGATTTTATGAGGGATTTTATTGGGGTTTTGGGGAATTTTTGGGGACTTTATTGGGGTTTTTTTGTGATTTTTGAGGATTTTATTGGGATTTTTTGGAGATTTTTTCGGGATTTTATCGGGTTTTTTAATTGGGGTTTTTTGGGGATTTAATTGGGGTTTTTTGGAGATTTTGGGGGGTTTTTATTAGGGTATTTAGGGATTTTGGGGGATTTTATTGGGGTTTTTTGGGGATTTTATTGGGGTTTTTTGGGATTTTATTGGGGTTTTTGGGGGATTTTTGGGGATTTTATTGGGTTTTTATTGGGATTTTTTTTTTGAGGGTTATTTAGAGATTTTTGGGGATTTTATTGAGGTGTTTTGGGGATTTTTGGGGATTTTTTGAGGGTTATTTAGAGATTTTTAGGGTTTTTATTGGGGTTTTTTGGGGATTTTATGGGGTTTTTTGGGGGATTTTATTGGGGGTTTTTGGGGGATTTTATTGGGTTTTTTGGGGATTGTATTGGGATTTTTTGGAGATTTTATTGGGATTTTATTGGGGTTTTTATTGGGGATTTTTTAGGGATTTTGGGGGATTTTATTGGGGTTTTTTGAGATTTTTTTGGGGGTTTTTGGGCGGTCCCAAAGCTGAGGAAAGGAGAGAGAAAATGGCGGCATGAGAGATTCCCCCAAAAATCCCAAAATTCCCCCCAAAATTCCCCCAGAAATCCCAAAATTCCCACCAGGATCACCAAAATTCCCCCAGGGATCCCCCAAAATTCTCCCCAAATTCTCACAAAAATCCCAAAATTCTCCCCAAATTCACAAAATTCTCCCCAAAATTCCCCCCAAATCCTGCCCAAAATTCTGCCCAAACCCCCAAAATTATTCCCAAATCCCCAAAATTCTCCCCAAAATCCCCAAAATTACCACAGGGATCCAAAATTCTCCCCAAATCCCCAAAATTCGCCCCAAAAATCCCTAAATTCCCCCCAGGATCCCCCAAAATTCTCCCCAAACCCCCAAATTCCCACAAAAATCCCCAAAATTTCCCCCCAAAACCCCAAATTTCTCTCCAAATCCCCAAAATTCTCCCCAAAATGTTCCCTAAATCCTCAAAATTCCCACGTGGATCCCAAAATTCCCCCCAAAATCCCCAAATTCCCACAGGGATCCCCGAAAATTCCCCCCAAAATCCCAGAAATTCCCCCCAAAATTCTCCCCAAATTCTGCCAAAAATTCTCCCCAAAATTCCCCCCA